ACAGGTTTGGAGGTAGGTCCTGGGGGGGGGGTACCATATATATATATATATATGGACCCTACAAAAAAGAGGGTTCTGGTTGCTTCAGGTAGACCACGAGCCTTAAGCCTTCAAGCCTGGACTTCCGTAGATCTTTGCAGACTGGACTTAGGCCCCCTCAGCTCTATCCCTTCTGTAGGATATCTTGTTTTCATTCATTGAAGCCCATATACTGGGTGGCCAACCACAACCCGGAGCCCAACAGACCCCACCTCACCAGGACTTCATACATTTCCTCCTCTGTGGGTTTCTTGGCCGTGACGCCGAACTTGACCTGGAAGTCTAGGATATTTGGGAAGAGTTCAAACGAGTTTTGTCATTTTCGAGCGATAGCTAGCCAACCTTCACATGGACGAATCTATGCTGGAACCGTACAAGAAGGGGCTTGGTTTGAAGTAAAGGTTTTCAATGTTGGGTTCCGGCTCAGTTCCATAGCAGCTTCAGGGTGTTGGGCAGCTTCGGGGGTCCCGGGTTGTCGTTTGGGTTCAAGGGGGCCCAAGTAACCAGTAGAAGTGGAAATGAACCCTGGCTTCGGGTGGGATAGTGCACTACGTTGACCAGCATGAAAGAATGGAAACAGGATACCCTCGGAGACCCAGCGGCATGGATTTGGGATGAAGGAGGCGCGCTTTCACGGTCTGCGAAGCTGTGCATCCCAAGCACTCGGTGCACTCGTGCGCGGTGCGGACAGAGGCGAGCCCGGACATGGTGCGTCTTGACGAACTTTCCGCCGATGTCCCTGGTCATCTGGGAAATGATGTCGTCGACACTCTTGGGCATGAAGGCCCCCGGCTTCGCACTTAGCAAAACCTGTAGCACGAAGGTCGGAGGCATTCGAAAGTAGACAAAGGCACCGCCCTCCCGCTGCCTGGGTACGACGTCGAATTCTAGACCGCTGGGCAGCAGCTGAGGGATCAGGGTCTCGTGGTTGTTGCGCGTGCACAGCGGACGGAAGTCAAAACAGTGAGCCTGGGCACACTCTCACTCTGGCAGTAGAATCTATGGCAGGTAAGATGGCCTCTGAAGGTGGGCTAGGGGCTATGGCAAACCCTGTGCCGATATCTCTTTCCGGACTCTTACAGAACCCGGTCCAGGAGGATGCGTGAGCCAACTCCGGCAGGCAGCCTGGGTGGGGTAAACATTGGCCACCCAAAGGACGCCGTGATAGCCTTACTTCTCTAGTAGAAACAAAAGGCCCCTTAAACTCTCAGAACTTAGAGCAAGGCAACAAAAAAACTCAAACAAATCCGAGCTCCGTTGCTTGGGTCTGCTGCTTGAGATTCCATGGTTTCTGCAAGCCCTCAGCCGAAGAAAACATAAGATTTCACTGTCAGTTTCAGAGAAGCTCAGTCCAACCGTTCTCTGTTCCGTAGGTTTCGCCGCCTGCCAGGCATTGCCCCGCCTGGCGCCGCCCAACTGCAGCCTTGGACTTGCTGAGATTACCCGAAGTTTCTCAGGTTTCCCCAGCTTTCCACAGGCTTGCCTCTGTATAGGAAAACGATAATTGATAAGGGATGTTCTTCCTCGGCTGAATCTAAAACCCTGAAGCCCTAAACCCTAACCCTAAACCTTAAACCCTAAACCCGAAACCCTAAACCTCAACTCCTAAACCCAAAGCCCTAAACCCTAAACCCCAAAACCTCAACCCATTAACCCTAAACCAACCCTAAAACCCAAATCCTAGCCAATCCGAGCAGCTGCGCGAGCGGGCGATTCAGGGCCCGCATGGCAAGCTAAGGAATTGTGCTGCAGTGCAGCTCTTCGTCCTGTCGTTTGTCAGTTCTCCAGTCCTGCCTCCACTTTTGCTATCTGTCCTGTCTGTCTGTCATGTGTACTCCTAGACCCCTAAACCCTAAACCCTAGACCCCTAAACCCGAAACCCTGAACCCTAAACCCACCACCGTATTACATGAACCCTGGAATTCCACCGTTACAAGCAATCCCTCACTTCTTCACCATGCAAGGCGCTGTTCGGCATCGTAATACGATTGCTGGAGCTTCCCAGCACCATTCTACGGAAGGTCCTTGGGACTACCCATATAGGCCCCATAGTAGTTCCTTTTTGGGGTTCATATATAGAATCCTATAAGGTAATCCCAAAAAGGAACTACTATGGGGCTCATGGATATTCAGACCATTGAAGCCAGCGGTACGGGCACACACTATGTTGAGAACACGAGTCTAGTTTTCTGCGGCTGGCAACCGTGGCTACCTCAGTTCTAGAAAGCTACAGATGTCCTAAGCCCTCAACCCTAGTGCAACACCGGAACAAAAAGGCATTGGCTCTGTGTGACTCTGTGATTTGGGAACCATAAATGGCTTCTGGGGTGGAGGCAGTTAGGCCATATAACGAACCCTAAAAAGTTGGAAACCAGATTAAGGACAAATGCTGCTGGGATGCCTTTTGCAGTACTCTTAAGGATTGAGGCTATTGGGTTTCCAACTTTTGGGCTTCTACTCTCAATGGTTTCTGGACCCGTTCGCGGCGCAGGGCGAGGACTGTTTCATGGTTTGGGGTGCTTGTAGTCTCACTCAATTAGGTGCAATTGCGCTACGTCGTACAGGACTTTAGTGCCACGAAACAGGAAACAGGTTTGGGGTGTATAGGGCTTGAGGCAAACCTTAGGCTTTAGGGTTTAGGGCAAATCTGAGGCTTCAGGATTCAAGGCAAATCTGAAGCTTTAGGGTTTACCTATAGTCTCCATTGCAATTCCTTTTTGGGGATAACTTATAAAACCGTTAATATATATTCGGTTAAACCAAAAAAAGGAACTACAATGGAGACTGCAGGTAGGTGTCAGAGTTAGGGCCTAGGACTTCGCTTGCAGTCCAAAGTTCAAGGCTTCGCATGGTTTACGAGCGAAGCTTGTCCCCCCCAATGCAACTGGAACCTGGATCGTAACGTCAAAGCTAAGACGCAGGGCAGATTTACAAGGCAAGAAGCACGTAATGTAGGGGACTTAATAATTAGAATAGGGTTTGGGCGTATGTTATACTATCACTATAATAAGGAACCCCCCAAAATAGTGCAGGTTACTATCCTATGTTACCCTAAACCCTAAACCCTAAACCGTTATTATCTAGGCCCCTTTTTTTACCAGCCCAAATGCGCATCCCTCGTGCAAAGCCAGCCGCCTGCTGCAGCACAGGGCGGGCGAACAGCGCAAAGCTGGACTCCTTTCTCAGTTTAGGGTTTAGGGTTTAGGGTTTAGGGTTTAAGGTGCTTGCACACTGATCTGCAAGGACTGTAATGTAGGGGCCTTCATAATTAAAATAGGGTGTTGGGGTATATTATACTGTAAGGCCTTCTGTGGATCACCTATTTGTGGTTAGGATACGTGGGTGAGTGGAGTAAGTATCATCGTACCGAAGGGACTGCAATAAGGGTGAAGCTAGGCTCTACGGGACCCAAAGGGCGATACTCAAGTTTGCTACACCGTGGGGCTCCACATGCTTCTAGGATCTGCCATCAGACGCGCCCAACTGCAGCGTGCAATAATCGAAGTTGCCTTAATCATTAGACTTGGGTTTTGCATTATACTGTACATCTACCCAATTCTTGTATACCACCATATGGTGTGTATACATATACATATATATGCTTGATTATAACAGGCAAAATTATTATGATGGAATATACGCTGTTTATCCTGGATGACTCACGTGTCAATTTCTGGAACGACCCGTTTCCGACCATCCCTTGATTGATGATTGATGGCCACGCCCCCTGAGGCAAAGACGCCTAACTACTTGGACGGAGATTTTTGGGGCAACCCAAGAAGAAGAGGAAGCATTGCTAATCATTCAGGCCTCTAGATTCCGTTGACTGCACATGCGGGCGAGTAGATTGCCCAGGTAAGGTGCAGCGGGGGCACAGAGAATGCCTGGGCCACTGTTTAGCAGCACCCTAGCCCGAGATGCTAAAGTACTGCCAGGGATGCAGACCCCACTACAAAACCTCAACTCCCGCCGCTCTGAACCCTGCACTTAACCCTGAATCCTAAACCCTAAACCCTAAACCCCAAAACCTTCGAAACAGCTCCAGCGGTTTTAGCCAAGTTGGGCATGGCATTGCCATGGCGTCCTCGGCAAGCATGCCATCCACCAAGTCCTCCAGCGTCGCCCGAACAGGGGGCGAGGGGTTAGAGTTTTGAGGTTTAGGGTTTAGGGTTTAGGGTTTAGGGTTTAGGGTTTAGGGGTTAGGGTTTAGGGTTTAGGGTTTTTAGAAGAATGTTGAAGGTCTGTTGGGGCCTAGAGATTATGCTAGATCTTGGAGCCTGTCTACAAGCTTGTCGGGTTTAGGGCTTAGGTTTAGGAAACCTCTATTTCAATGATTAAGATTGACTGTCTTTTGGAGCCGCGTCTAGGTACGCAAACGCTCGGAGTGGAGCTTATCCCGAAGCCCTACAGTAAGCCCTACCCCTAAACCCATATATATATATATATATATGTATAAACCAGGAAAACTAAATTTCTCTCTTTCTCTATCTCTCTACATGTGCCCGAAACCCTAAACTAAATTACTACACCCCTATCAACCCTTACAACAACCTCGGAACCTTCCAGCAAGGGGTTCCAGCGCCGGATTCGGAGCTCCAACTCCTTGGGAGCTAGGATTAGGGGGACCCTTGGGGATATAGACCCTCTCCATAAGGTCCCTTGTAAGAGCCAAAAGTAGGGTTCTACCTAGGAAAACCCTAAACCCTAAACTTCAAATCCTAAACCCTACACTTCAAACCCTAAACCCTAAACCCTAAACCCTTTAAGGGGTACCACCAATAATACTACCAACTCTTTCGGAGCTCGAGATAACTCTGGTGGCTCTGAGATTCAGCTCTGATAGGCCTCAAAAGTCCTCAAGGTGATTTCAGGGCTTAGGGTTTAGTGTTTAGGGTTTAGGGTGTAGGGCAGGGTTTGTTGTTTAGATATTCCCAACTTCTGGCAAAGACGAACATGACCCAACACCACAAGAACTCTCTCAACCCTAGAAGACTTGAAAGAACCGAGGAAGGACTGAGAACCCTAAACCCTAAACCCTGAACCCTAAACCCTACACCCTAAACCCTAAACCCTAAACCCTAAACCAAGAAAACCCTACATCTTCCCCCCTAAACCCTAAATTGCCCACCCCAAAACCCTAAAACCTAAAACCTGAGCCCTATGACGCTAACAGGGCCGAGGTAAACAATGATAGAAGTAATAGGATTTATAGTTTTTAGGGTTTAGGATAACAAAATCAAATCAAATGACGACAATAACGATGATAGTAATCATGATAACGGCGAAACGTACAAAGATCAGTTGAAACCTTTGAAATAGTCATGACACTAACATGAAAACGTTAAAAGGTACGATGCAAAATAATGATAATGACCATACTAATAGGAATAAGTATTAGTAGAAAACCATTAGTTAGCAAAAATGATGACCACGGTTATGATAGCACATCGGCGACAAAAAAACATCACAAATCCCAATCGTAGCCTTGAGCTGCTGCACATCGTGTTGCTCGACAAGGCTCTTCACCTGCCATAACATAGGGGCCTTAATCATAAGAATAGGGTTTTGGGATATACTATACTATAACAATAGCAGTGGACCCCCCAAAAAAAAACTCTATTCTAATTCTTACGGCCCCTACAGTAACAAACGAGTCCCCCCAACCACAAGGTGGTAAGCATAAGGTTTAGGGCTCAGGGCTTGCATAGTTCCCTGGGGGTCCAAGTATGTAGTTCTGTTTAGGCAGGGCATTTTGGGTGCCCAACCAGCCTCAACCCTAAACCCCTACAGTCCCATAATTGGGAGTTCTTGTACCCTTGGGGATTAGTAACGGACTGGACCATTTTTGTGGCTACTATGCCCATTCAGGGTTTAGGGTTTAGGGTTTAGGGTTTAGGGTTTAGGGTTTAGGGACTAGCGGGCTTGGAGGCTCAGGGGCTCATGATTTCAAGAACCCAAACCCTACACCCTCAACGGGCTAGGTTCCCCAAGAGCAAACCTGCACTACTGGGAGACATAGCTTAAGCGCCCTTAGCACGACAAGTAAAAACCGTGTCTTGAAGAATCCCTCTGAGTTTTTGATAACAGAAGATGAAACCTAACTAAACAGTTAACAGCTAAGAACCCTAAAGCTAAACCCCAAACGCTAACCCTTTCAAGCTTAATTCAAAAGAGCACTAAGATCACTAAAGCTGGTGAGTTGACAGATCCCGGAGAGGCCTTAAACTTGAGACAGCGAGGCTGTCCGCGCAAAGGGCCAGCGGCAGGGATTTGGGGTTTTTCTAGTGTACTAGTGTACTCATGAGGAACCCCAAGCAAAATGTAGTTAGTCAGCCTTGTACATTACGGTTGCTCGGGATCGGCCCTAAATCCTACATAAACTCTCATAACACAGCCTCAAAGAAACCAAGTCCGACATATCTGGATTGTAAAAACGCCCTCTGTTTAAGTTCCCGACAAGTTCGGTGAACTTTTCCATGCGACCGGTGGCATCGGGTGTAGCCCCCACCTGGCACGAGAACGGCTTGGGACCGAATGCCCGGCCAACTGAATCTTAGGATTAGTTTGTTTGTGGCTTCAGGTCACGGCTTAGGGTTGAGGCTGCATGTGGGCCGGCAATACTCGAGATTGGCAAATTAAAGCAGTGCGATGCGTCGCATACAGGAGTGACAAGAGACTTGCTTGTGTCTTTGATGGGGCAAATTTCCATAAACTCACTAGAGCTAGG